TCGCCACACCCTTTTGTTGTTGCCTTTCTGAAAAGATCGATTTACTATATATATTTACAAAAAATAACACAGATCTACAATGCATGTTTGTTTATATAAATGTAATAAAGTTTAAAAACAACAAACAGATGTTAGAAAAATTATCTAATCAGTTATCAAAATTATCTAATCAGTTATCAAAATTAATAAATATTCCTTTTTCTAATTGTTTAAATATATTTCAAGTTTCAGAATTAATGTTGAAAGAATATGCAATAGAGCTAGTATATTATTGTTCAGTTGACATATTACAGTTACATAAATTGAACTTAAAGCGAAACATATTAAAGATTATATACAAAGAGCCAAAATTGCATGTGTAACAATCTCTAATGTTTTTACTAATAGAATTGGATGTTTAATACAAAATCTGTTTAGCAGATATGCATCATGAAGAAAAATTTTAGTTTCATTAAGACAAAAAAATATTGTTATACAAGGAATGTATGATAGAGGTTTGGTAATTCCTCCAATTAAAAAAATTAAAAGATCTGTTGCAGATGTTAATTTTACATTATATTACTCCCATGCTATTATACAAAACAATATATCTTTTGAAAAACATGTATCAAAAAATTCAACTAATCATTATTTAAATGCTATAATTAATAATGACATTGTATATAATAAATTTTTACTATATGGCAATAATATAAATAAAATGAGTATCATGGTATTCATATATAAAGAATTACTAGAAAATCAGAATGATGCAAAGCATGAAATTGTTCAAGAATAATAAAAAAAACTCTTATATTATACTTTATTATCAAATGCATTGAAAATATTTGCAAATACTGTTTATAGAGAAACTTATTACAGATATTCACTATTATATTATGAGGAAGTTGCATCATCAGTTACAGCATTTTGTCAAGCAACATTAAAGATGATGATTGATTTTGTAAGAGAACAAAGATTTATAGTAGTTTATGAAGACACAGATTCTATATTTTATTCATTGCAAAAATCATATTTTACAGAACTTGATACTAAGTACTCTAATGAATTATTATTAAAAAAAGAATATTAGAAGAAACAGATCAAATTAACAATATTACACTCAAAGATACTAGAAACAAAGATCAATAAACACTTGAAACAGATTATAAAATCTATATACTTGAAGATGGCCTATAAAAAAACAATGTATCTATTTTTAATTTTTAAAAAAAAACATTATATCGCAATTACTTATTTAGATGTACCAAATTTAGACAATTTAAATTTATTATTGAAAGGTCTCAAAACTATTAAATGTAATGTGTCAGAATTTTACAAACTAGTAGTAAAAGAATTAATATATTCTTTACTTAGTTTCAATAAAGATTTCTCAATCAAACAAAAAGAAATAGATCAAAAAAGAATTAGTTATACAGATAATTACTGACTATGTCAATAAAAAAAAAAACAGTATTAGACTTATTTATTCTTATAGCAAAGTTTGACCCAATATATGCTTCAGTATTAGCAGTTGATTTTATAAAAACACTAAACAATAATCTGACAAAAGAAGAATAAAATGAAATTCTTAAGCAAATTACAAAATCTGATACAAAAAAAAAAACAAGATGGTTAATAATTTTGTTGCCAAATTAGAACATTCTATTGAACCAGAATGAATTTTCTACTATGTAAAATTTTATCTGATGTATCAAGCATTTCACACAGAATGATCTTAACAGTTCATTTTGATTCAAAGAAAATTACTATTGATATTATATACTATTTTTACAACTTACAAGACATTATGGCTTATCTTTTAGGCTGTAAAGAGAAGCAAGCACTTAAAAAAATAAAGAAAATATTTGATGCTAAGGAACTTAAAAAGCAATGAATAATAACAGAATTTTTTGTCGAAGAGAAACAACAAAAAATAACAGAGTTTGTTGAAACAATATTTAATACAACTAAATAAAAACCAACTGAAGAATTACACAGGCAAAAAAATAATAAAAACCAAAAAACTCAATCAAAACTAGATAAATTTTATTACTCTGATATATCACATAAACATAAATTACAAGCTAACAAACAACCAGAATTAAGTAAATGAAAATGTATATAAGAGGTAAAAAATTTTCTTTCTCTTTTAATTTTAACAAGATGCAATACAAAATATTTAATAATAATCAGATCAAAATTATGGATTATATTGAGATAACAAAACTTTACATGAAGATGCAAAGATCTTCTTCACTAATAAACTTTTTAATAAAAAACAAGTTTAATATTGACAAATTCAATGATTTTATATTATTAACAAAAAAACATAATCAATTGAAATCTTCTTCTTAACTCTACAACCTATTAATTAAACCAATAATCAATTTAAAGATAATAATTATAACAGAATCAATTTATTACAATGATCTTACATTTGTTATTCTATTAATAAATTATATAAATACATCATAGATGCAATTAGCATTTCACAAATTCTTTTGTTTAGTAAAATGTATCAAACAGAAGTTTATTTAAATAATTATATCTTGAAAAAAACACAAATGCAAAAAAATTAATTCATATTTTATAAAAAATTTTAATAAAAGAAGACTATTTATTTATTTACCAGATGATATACTTTATATAATATTTTTACTTTTAATACCTTTAGATATCACAAAATCATCAAAATTTATATTAAATAATAAAAGATTTGTTGAATTTTGAAAACTGAAATTTGTATGTAAATTATTCTGTTAGTTTTACAGATACTATTTCTCTCAATTTGGAACAAAATATTATTTGATCCAAAAGAAATACAATCGAGATTATGAACTACTAAAATGTTTCAAATAGAATATACATTACTATCCAAAAAACATCTGGATCGATCTCAAAGATAGTGATGTTGATTTATACCTAAATTTTCTCACTCTTATAAACTTCATATACATGATAATTAATTATACTGTGATTATTTCAAGAAAACTTTAATGTTTATTGAACCGAATAAACTTAAAATATATGGAAAAAGCAGATGTCAGAATTGTGAAATATTTACATATTGTGTAGTACATTCTTATGATTTTCTAACATATTGTAAATCAGAATGCAAAGATGCTTTATGTAAAAAAATCAGACCTATGTCTATTGGAAATTATTATTTATTATATTATATAAAAATTTGTAAGAATTGTAATGAATATTTCGACAATTTTTACAATGAAATAATGCATTTTTAGAACCAAAAAATTTTACTATATTAGATTATTGAAACAAAATAAGAAATTTGAGAATTTTGTTTAATATTCATTAAAAAATAATCTGTTCAGTTCTACTAAGCAAAGATTTATTTACGTAATTTAATGAAATTGCAACTAAATAATTAAAGAAAAAAGAAAATATCATAGACACAAACTTGATCCATATTTTATTAATAACATTAAAACCAAAGATACATGATGTTTTATTTTATTACCTTATGATATACATCATAAGATATTTTTTTTCTTAACTCCAGATTCAAAGATCACATTGGATGATAAAAGATTCAGTGATTTTTGAAAACTAAAATTCATATGCAAAACATTTCATTATCATTATTATTATTACTTTAACAAGATCGCAACCAGATACTACTTGATACAAAAATATAATTCATTATATAGTCCTCCCACTTTATACAAATAAAATGTATGATATTGTTTCAAAAACATTTGAATCAACATTGCCAAAGATGATTCTTGATTCTCTTATAAGTTAAGATTAGAAAAACAATTATATATTGAGACAAATTATTTGAAGAATTTCAAGAAAACTTTAATATTGTGGATGCTGAAACATTTTGTAAATATGAAAAAAGCAGATGCCAGAACTGTAAATCTTATACATATTGTAAGACACAAGGATTCACTTTCTTTGAAAACACAGAATCAGATTGTAAAAAAGTATTGAAAAAGTTAGTTCAATCTTTTGATAATGATTCTTATTTAAGATATAATGTAAATGTTTATGAATATTATGATTTATATTTGATAGCACTTTACTGAGGCCAAAGCTATAATGCTTTTCTAAATAGTGATCAGGTTTTTTCTTCTTTGTCATATTCTAATATATTAAAAATTGGTTATACTCTTAATTCTTTTTTATTCAAATAAAGCATCTACTTAATTTGACCAAGTATATTTTTATTTATGTAACTATAGTTCACATCAACTTATTTCCTAATAAAATATTAGTAATGATATTTTATTTATGTTTCAATTCAGAAAAAATTACACTCATAGATGTGTTAATCTCAAACACAATCAAAACAACATATTAACTTTGGTACAAGCTTTATATAATATTATTCAATTTACATAAAACAAAATATATTTTAATCAAACCATTTAACAACTATTTGATAAAACATAATATATATGTTCCTTTTATGATTTCTGTTAATTACATAGCATTTAACAAAGATATTTCAGAGAAAAAGCAATTTAAATATTTGATTAGTATAAATTATTTAGAAAAAGAAATAAGAATTAATCTATTATATTTTAAAAATTCTAAAAATTATTTCTTTTGGTTACCAAAAAGAAATTTGAAAGCCTAAAATCTATCTGTGATTTATGTGAATCAAACATTTTTTGTTTCTCTTATAAATTAAAAATTAGTTTTAACAGATATTTAGTAAAAAAATATAAACAATTACTGTTCATGACTTGGCACTTACATATAGTTTGTTATATGTGTCAAGGCAAGTTTTCAAAGTTGTTATGTCCTGAACTTATCAATTTCAATTATCATTTTTAATGACATTATATAAGTTAAAAAATATATAAATCCACATTATTTTTCTTCTTCTTATCAAAAATGGTTTTTGAATTGAGTATTAAAATTGGTTCAAATTTATTATTTTGTTTGATTGAATTAGCAAAATCTTTTACATTTTTACTATTTATTGTTTGTATAACTTTATTTTTCTTTCATGTTCTTGATTGGTCTAAACAATCTAATCAGTTTTTTCTTAATGTAATCTTAGGTTTTTATAGCTAATGTCTAAAGTTTCAAAATATTATATTGTGTTTAATAATTGCATTTCTGGAGTTTATAATACTTAGGAAGAATTTGATAAACAAGTAAATAATTTTATATTATCATATTATAAAGATTTTTTAACATTAGAAGAAGCAAATGAAGCATTCGAAAGAAGAAAGAAAGATGATTTTAAAAATACAACTTTTTTATATCTTTCTGAATTTATTAATATTCTTCAGATTTTAGAAAATGATAAAGATGAGAAGAAATTAATAATCTCAACTAAAAACAAAAATATTTACTTAATGTTTGTCGAAAATTAAATCTTAAAATAGATAAAAAATGATTAGATGTCCAGAGAAGTTAAGCTTAAAGCTCCTAGAGAAATTTGTATTTGAATTAATGAATATATCAGAAATAGAAAAAATATTATTGAATATAATTATACAAAAAAAGGAAAAGTTATTTTATCTCATTCTATATCTATTTAATATTATTTGTTTAATGTTAAATTATTAAATTATAATCTAATTAGTTCTCTAAATCTAATTAGATTCTTTTTCATATAACTTTTACATTTTACTAAGGTAAAATGAGGTATTCTAACCTGTATATATGTTTGAAATCTATTTTCACTTGTTATATTAACTTTTACTTTGCCTTTCTTATTTTTTTAAATGATTGCTTATGCACTTTTTTATTCTTCAGAATGCCTTTAAAATATTATTATGTTGTTCTAATTAGTCACACTCCTGAGGTTTATAACACCTTAGAAGAATGTGGTAAATATTCATATTTAAAAAAATTTTTAACATTAGAAGAAGCTAATAAAGAATTTGAAAAATATTAATCAAAAATTAAAAGAAAGAAAGAAAAACTAAATTCTAAAGATAAAATAGTTATTTACACAGATGGTTCTTATAAAAATAATGAAAAAGGATCATATGCTAGAATTGGAGTTTATTATGAAGATAGAACTAAACAAATTACTGAACCTTTATCTGAAGATTTGCAAACTAATAATTATGCAAAACTATATGCAGTAATTAGAGCATTAGAAACTTGTGAAAATAAGTTAAAAGTTATTGAAATCAAATCAGATAGTCTATTTGTCATTGATTCTCTTAAAACATGAATTCATAAATAGAAAAAAAATAGATAGAAAACACTTAAAAATCGAGATGTAAAAAACAAAGATTTATTTGAAAAGATTGATTTTTTAATATCTAAAAGAGCTAGTAAAGTATATTTTATATATATTTTTAAATACAAGAGTGTAACTAAAATAAAATAGCTAATAAATTAGCTAGACAAGATGCTACTATCAAAATGAATGAGAGTAAAAAATTATCTTCTTACAATGCTTTTATGAAAACAAATCTACCAATAGTTAAAAAAAATAACCCAAATTTAAATAGTAAAGAAGCATTAAAATTAGTTGCTTCTATGTAAAAATCCAAAAAAACAGTTTATTTAAATAATGTTTAATTATTTATTATTAATAAATATCTATATTTATTTTTATAATAATTTTGTTTAAATTATGAAATCAAATATTTATCGAACAAACTCCAAACTTTAGAAATCAAAACATATTATTGAACAATGCATACTGTATTTTCCTGAAATTAAGCTACTCTTGAAAATAAGCTATCCTCCCTACTTTGGTTAAAAACTTCTAATATACCTAATATCTGAAAATAAACTACCTTTTAATTTTTGTCTAAAAATCTAT